GCGTCTGGGCTGTCCGCTGCCCGCGTGTTCCGCCGCTTTGCTTCCTCTCCCTGGTCTGCTGGAGACCAGGGAGAGGGAGGGCCCCGTTCATAACTGCGGAAGTCGGATCTGCGTAACTCGGGGACTGCCTGTATACTGTTGTGGAGGAAAGGGGAGGGGGGAATAGCTGGCATGCCACAAAGTATAACAGATATATCATTTTCACATTAAACTCAATTAGCCCTTTTGGGGCCTTACCCTGCATTGATCTACAGACAGAAATCTTCAGTGAGATAAATGAGGGAGTTCTGTGTAAAACTGAATGGCTAGCTATGGTGTTGGGTGTGGGATTTGGGAATGCCAGGAGGGAGCTGGAATGGACATGATGGGATACTGAAAAGAACCCAGAGAAGGGGGAAAGTGCTGCTGTCCTGTCTCTTGTTCTGGGAATCCCCCCTACATTCTTCACTGCAAAAACAGGCAGGACTGTCCCCCCAAAGAATTTATCCCAGGCTTTATGTGCATGCTGGGATACAGCTTGGGGAGCTTAGTTAGCACGGTGTTATGTAAAATCATGCAGTGAAAGCTGCAGTTGAATACTGCGACAAACAAAGCCTCAGGGCCAAATGCTTGGCTAGTGTAGATTGGTGCAGTTGATGGAATGATAATTATTTAAACCAGCAAAGTATTTGGCCCAGCATGCTTTGTTTCATTACCCTTATTCACTCACCTTCTCATCACCGTGACGAGTCATAAAGAGAACAAGCCTAGTCCTTTCTCTGCATACACAGAGCATTGAATACCACACACCACAGTTTGAGACTGTGCTATGAGTGATTCCCATTGAATTCAGTGGGAGCTATTTGTAGTCTGCATGGAGAGTCTGGACCTGAGGAGATTCCAGGAACCTAAGACACAACTATCCCAATGGCTATTATTGCGTAGAAACTAGAGAATAACTCTTCAGGAATTTAACTGAAGTTTGTTTCTTTTAGGACAATTATTTTGTCCAGATTTTGACCAAAATACACGTGTTCATTTTACACCTCTGCGTGGGAAAATACATAGAACAAGACAGTAAAAGGGCATTATAAAGAACACTTACTTTCTTTTTCTTTGCTGGCACCAAGATGAAATGTGCAATTTGGAAATGCTTCTCTGGCTGTGGAATTAAAGAGAAGAATTGGTTATATCTCCTGAGAGTCACTTCTCAGGGATCCAAAAGAAAATCCTACTTAAAATTTAAATAAGGAATTTCATTTAACTTTGCTTTATTGTCTTTCTTTTTCATTTAGGGTATGTCTACACTGCGACTATTCTGTGTCTTGACAGAGCGCCTGTTATTTCAAAATATCAGGCGCGCTATTCCAATGTCCCTGTAAACTACGTTCCATGAGGATTAAGGAACGTTTCAGAATAGCAGCTTATTTAAAAATTTGGTGCTGTGTAGACAGTACCAAATTATGAAATAATTGCGTAGTTCAAATTGCATAGCTTATTTTGAGCTGAGTGTGCAGCGTAAACACACCCACTGAGAAAATCAGGATGGCAGATTCCAAAAAATGGGGCATAAAAATGGCAATGACAGTTAGTTATGACTGTTATTTCTGACCTTCCCTCCACCTAATCCACCTAGAGCAGAGAGAGAAGTTGTAATGTAAAGGATTTATTGACACACATTTGAAATATGACCATTCAGGGTGCTAGTGGCAAAGCTACTGATGTGTCATTTGCCACTAGCAAGTAGCACTACTCATTTGCCACAAGCAACGTGTATAAGTGCCAGTTAAACTAATTATACCAGGAATTGTCAAACGATTGTGTCCTGAGGCCCACATCTTATTGGAGGGATTGTTTAGTGATAACTAGCTTCTCTCTTGGTTGTGATCATGTTGATCACTGTGCCTGTTTTTGACCACAAAGGCCTCCTAACTGCCCATTCACAATTGCATAACATCCCTGTGGCAATGACAGGAATTGTTTGCATGAAAAAGTAATACTGATATTTAGCTGTCAGAGCACATGCCCAGTTGGTTCACTGCATGCATATAGCATAAAATTCCATAGACCACAGTTTGAGGTTTATCTTTAAGTTGGGAGTAGCATAAAAAAGAAAATCAGCATTTGCAGCAGTCCAGTAAGATACAGCTTTAATTTCTAGCCCTTGATGTTTGCAAGATATTGGATCCTCAAACTGTCACTAGTCCAGGACTAAATATAACTTTTGCATCCAAAAACAATGTATGATATCTCTCTATCATTTTTGGCCTGACGGTGAACTTTTTTCTGAAAGAGATTAAAGAAAATCAAGGTAACTTTGTTTTTATTATGTAAACATGGGGGGGAAGTGCTTTCCAGATGCTTATATATTAAGAAAAAAGTTCTGATCTCTTCTTCCTTCAACCCAGGCCTATGACATATGTTCTACATCCAGGGTTGGGCCCCACAGAGTTTTGCAAATATACCTTGATCCTGCTTATAGCACCCCCTGGCCATCCAGCTCTGAATGCTAAACAACCTGAGCTTGTGTTCCTCTGTGTGGGCCTATAGCATCACCATCTTTGTCTATTGATTTTTGGGTCCAGTCTGGTTCCCACTAAAGTCAGTGAGTGTCTTTCTACTGATTTCAGTGTGAATTGAAGTTGTACAGAAATTTAGTTACTATTTTTTCTTTGTAAAAGTCTCTCACATGCATTCCACACACATGTCCCAGTTACATCTACCTTTCTGTATGCGGAGTTCCATGAAGCCATGAGACACTTGCGTGGTATGCAGTTTGCCATGTTCCTTTTTCGTGTCTACCACATAACAGCAGTAATTGCCACTGTCCTGCAGAGTCAGGTTCTTTATGATGATATGAAATGTCCCATGGTGATCCGAGGTGGTCTCCAGCCCATGGTAGTTTGCTCGCTCCCCATGGAAATACTTTTCAGTGACATTGCTGTGTGTCCCATGATGCCTCCCCAGCTCATGATGTAGGTCCCTTTCAGAGATGTTGCGGATATGCTGCTTCTCAGAGCAGCTTTGGTCTCTGTTGCTGCTGAAGTACCAAATTTTGTAAAGTAAGTCATGTGGAGCAGAGAGTGACCCAGTGAGCTTGCATGTCAAGGTGACATTCTGTCCTTCTGGGCAGACATAGAGTGAGTAAGGAGTCGTGATCGTGAAAGCTGTTGTCTGTTCTACATGGAGAAAAGAAAATCTAGGCAATTACAATGTAAGATAAACAGCAAGATGTTAAAGAATAGCAACTCTTTGCACTACTATGAAGATCTAATTAAACATACACCTGCAAAGAGCCCTGTTTGGTAGATAAGCACTATACCCATTTTACAGAGGAGTGCACTGAGACACACAGAGGTTAGTTAAGCAATTCATACAAGGTTACACAAAGTGTCATTGCAGCTGATTTGGGATTAGAATCCAGGAGATCTGATCCCTAGTCCCGTGCTCTAAACACTGGTTTAAGTGCATTAGATTGGGCAATTAGATTGTATAGTGTACACATCATACAGGACATCACTAATGTTTGTAAATCATCTTTCCCCTAAGAATTAGATCTGAGGTCTCACTGTGTATCTTGTCATTTCACTGTTCCGTAATCATGGTATCTCAGAGTGACCAAAATATTCTACATTATAGCTTCTTTTATTCCATACAGCTACTACTGCTCTTTGGTGCAAACTATTAAAGACATTCTTTTAAAAAAAAAAAAACAAATTTCACCAAGAAATGTTAAGATATTGTCAGTTCTGGCTAACTCTCTTGCATTACACACCTGATCATTTAGGATAGTTTTTCTCCACATTAATGCTGGCAAATAATATACTTCATACAATTGTGTGTGTCTTTTACACATTTGGGGGAGGAGGGAGAGGGAGAACAGGATACAGTAAATTTATGCAATAATATACAAAAGGAAGTATGTCTTGTGGTGCAGAATTGTATAAGAAACCTTAAATAAGTAAAAATCAAATTCCTTTCATGGGGATTAGGTCTGTGAATCAAAAATAGCCGAAGGCAATGGGTGTTTCCCTCACAGCCAAGTGACTTCCTGATCATTCAGTTAATGCTATACCTGTCAAATACTTATATATTTTGGTGTCATTTAATCTGAACAGAGTCAAAAATCTTGTAATAATGTAAAATGCTTAATGCATGTTTGTAAAAAAAAAAATCAAGTAGAGCCCCCATGATAGTGGCACATGACCACTCTGGATTTTCAGATGCATTCAAAGCAAGTGCACTTTGAACAGATAGCACTTTGTTTGGACAGTTCATAATGTGCAGGACCCATAAAATAATCAGTTTTCTTTTGAGGGTCCAGTAAGCAAGAGGAAAAACCTTTTAAATCTTAGTGCTAGGTCCTGCTTCCATTTAAGTTGGTAGCAAAACTCCCATTCAGTGGCAGTAGGTTTGGTGGACACCAAAGTGTTACAAAGTTCTGGCTTTTTATGTAAATCATGGTAGCAAAACTCCCATTCAGTGGTAATAGGTTTGGTGGACACCAAAGTGGTACAAAGTTCTGGCTTTTTATGTAAATCATGTAGTGAAAAAGTTTGACATGTACCTTGATCTTATAAATAAATAACTTCTTTCAGTAGGTATAGTGTACTTGAACAATATAAGTAGTTACTATTTTTACTTCTGTACAGTAGGTACAGTGTACTTGAACTATATAAGTAGTTACTATTTTTACTTCTGTAAACTAGCAAGGAGCTTTTGCCCTTTTCCTGGTTTGGGTGGCAGCAGAGATGTTATGCAGGTCACTTGCTTATTGAAACTAGGCCTGGGGGATGCTGTTGCGTGGTGTCTTCGCACTGTAACATTTGCTGAGAGAGATCAAAGTGGATCAGGAGCCTCTGTGTTTGTGGGGGAAGACTGATGACAGGGGGAGTGTATGGTACTCAACTGAAGACATTTCAAAATGGCTGTGATTCAATTACAAATCCCAATCATTGGTGTTATAGTTAGTTCCTTCTCTCCCTCCTCCTCCCCCTCCCTCCCCGCTCCTAACCAGGGGGCTGTTAATGCCTGTTTTTTTAAAAAGAGAAATAACAACAGCTTATGAAACACTCCCACTCCAAGATCAGACTGTTTTAACCTCACCCTGTTTACGCAAGACTGCTTGTGTTTTCCATTTTCTCTAGAGGCAGAGGTGGAACTGGCTGACAAACAAAATTCCTTAATGAGAGAAGTTGTTCTCTGCCGAGTTCAGAAATCCCTCATTGTTTACTGAAAATTGTTCTCAGAGGCCCAGCAAAGGAACAGCAGGGAATGTTTGTAGCTCCAAACTGAGGTGTATTAGCAGAGCTGTTTCTGAGGCTTGTGTTAGGGTTATGCAAGTCAGGATTCAGGTACATGAGCAAAGTTGAGTGGGTAGCAAGGACTGGAATAGTTAGGGTGCTACAGGTTGGGGGTAGTAAACTGGCAAATCTCTGAGGTACCAGGATTGACATGGTGAAGCAGGGTATTATAGCCAGTTCTTCAATTTGTGTACCAATGAGTGGAGGAAGACTAGAACAGTGCCCACCTACGTTCTGTCTAACTGAGCCTCCAGCTGTGCCACTGTCCCAGAAGCACTAGTAACCACAGGGATCCTTCAAAAACTAAAGAGGGAAAAAAGGAGGATTTCTTTACTGTATTTTTGAAACTCTTGGTAAAGAGGAACCATGTAACAATATGTCTCCAGGGTTTGGTTTGTTACACATATGATGGTGTTATGAGGACAAGATGTTCTCTCGCTACACTTACATCCTGTTGTTCAGTTGGATTCACCTTTATTTGATTTTTCTGGTTTTTCATTTGATGTACTTAGAAGGGCCAACAGAATACATTGCTCCAAACTTTCACAGAAGTCTTCCGGTACTGAAACAGGCTCATGTTCACTTGGTATAAATACTATGTAGGCCCTCTTTCCCACCCTCTGAAGATGGACAATCCTTGTTCAAATAGGGTTTAAAAACTACATTCTAGCCTAGGTCCCTGCGTTGACAAGAACTTAGTTTCTAACACAGAGCTGACTCTGTTAACCTTTTGAGGGTTATGTGACTTTCTCAGCCTGTAGCAGATCTCCAGCTCAAGTAGTAGAATTGATCTTGGACAAATACAAGTGAAAAAGGTCCTTAAAGTCTTTCCGGTTTTGTCCATTATTTGTTATATTTAGAACATTGTTGGACTTGGACCTCTTGGAATCATTTAACTGTGTTATTTATGGAAGCTGGGTCTGAATGGATTGATTACTTCCTTGTCAGCAATCTGGGAGAGGTGAGAGACCCTGGGTGTGTTTATGTAAATACAGTTTGCTCCTGCTTTGCTTAGATTTGCTAGATATTCAGCTAATAGAGTGGTGTTTTGCTCAATGTAATAATCTTGGCTGGCATTGAGTCTAGGGTTGCCAGATGGTTTAAACAAAAATACTGGACACACTTGACATTACATCACAATTTACATTACATCTTATTTAGAAAATACCAGACATTTATATTTTCTCAATTTGTTTCCCGAACAGAGAGTTCAAATACTGAACTGTCCGGTTCAAAACGGGACACCTGGCAACCCTAATTAGGTCACACATTATGTTAGTACTGAATGCTGAGAGAGTGAAATATTGTTACCAATGTTGTAATTATTGTGAGACTACAGAAAAGCAGGATTGTGCTTAAACCTGTCCCAAAGGAGGGGTGTCACTCTTAGTTGAAAGAAGCTCTGTAAGGACAAGGGCTCAAATGTCAAAGCCATGTGAAAGAAAGAAGTGAGGGGGACAAGTATTTTGGTCAGGAGGCTGCACTCTCTCCCCAAAAGCACTCCCTAGAGTAGTCTGACCTATTTCTCCCCCCTATTCAAAGAATACAGCTAAATTGGTATCTTCAGAAGCCTGTTTGTTATTTTAATTGCACCTCAGAGCTAAAACTAGTTGTGGCAGAACTATGTTTCTGGTCTGCCTGCTAAGAGTTAAAATCACTGGGCGCTGAAGTCACTTGAGATGGGGCAGTATTTCTCTTTAGCCTTCAAAAGAGCTAAACATTACTAACAGATTGGTGTGCAGTTGTCACAACAGAGACATGCGGGCAATGGATGGCGAGTGACAGCCAGTAAGGCGGCAGCAGACAGTGTGACAAGTGGCTAGCAGGGTAACATCAGTAGGCGATGAGCAGGCAGCTACTGAGAGTAAGATGACTCTTTACCCCCCACCCAGGGTGGAAGGTAGGCGTGACAGGGGTGGGGCATGAAGAGCTTGTACCCCAAATGCTGCCAGTGGGAGGGGTACGGGGCTAGAGCCTCTGGGTAGCATGGGGGACTAACAGGGTGGCCTGGCACCTGCAGCAGAGGTTGTGCCTCCCTGTGCACACTGGTAGTGGTGAGGGGAAGCAGAGTAGTGCGGCCGTAGCCCACTACACTCCCCTGTCTTCTGGCTGCATCACTTGAAGGAGTGGGCGGGACCGTCCCCACGCTCACCAGTGGGAAGCTGAGTAATGTGGGTGGGAACCAAGGGAGCAGAGTGAGCTGGGGCCATGTCGCTCTGCTTCTCCTGCCACTAATAGGGGGGCTCAGCCCCTACTGCAGATACCAGTCCTCCTCCCCGCCTTGTCCCCTGGGCTGTACAGAGGCTCTGGACCCTTGCTTTTCCCACTTGCCGTATTTGGGGTCTGTGGCTACCTGGCCATCATCTCATGCATTGCCAGTGTTCACGCTGAACAGCAGTTGCTAGGTGCTGAGAAATGGGTGATCACTCCACCTGGCAGGATCAGCATTGTGATAGAGCCTGCATTGCCAGCATGTGGCGCAGACTGGATGAAAGATTTTCCATCCTTCTCCCCTATGAACCTGTGATCTCAGTTGCAATCTGTGGTGTGGGTCGCTTGTAGCAACTGAGCTTATATTTTATATGGACTTTGCATTACGGTACTACTGGGGTGTTGCACTGTTTGAGGTGCCATCCCGCTAATGAAACAATATCTCTTCTGCCTATCTGATAGTGGCTGATGTCTAAGTAGACATTAGAGAGCTTATGACATTTTATTTTAAGGCATGCATGTTTGCGATGGGGGCACGACCCCTTACCAAATAAGAGAAGTTATAATGTCCAGGGTTAGGTCTGAGCTATTGCTGAGCATGTTAAAGCTGTTGTTTTTGCCTATACAGTCACTGAGTTGCTAGGATCTACCTAATCACTTTGGGT